GCCTTTGGCTGCAAATAGACAAATATGGTGTTTTAGGAGTCAGAACAGTTTCGGTCTTGAGAGTTTCCAACTGCAGTCATTATCAGGGATTTTTTCGAGAATTTTCAAAATTCAGCCAGAAAATGGGTTTACAGAACCTTCAAAGCAACGCTCGTTTGTAACATTAATTATAAAGTAAACGAAAAAGCATCTCGCAGCTTTTTGTGCCGTCAAGAGAAATGTGGGTTCTAGAAGCCTGGAAAGTTCCGATTTGTATTCATCATCAAGGATTTTTCGACGAATTTTTTGAGAGTAACCCACTGTCGCACTGCTAGTTTGAAAAATTATTTTTGAGAATTTTTCAAAATTGAATCAGAAAATAAGTTTGCAGAACAACTCAATCACGAGAACCGCTCCTTTAAAAAAAATAATTTTGCAGAAATAGGAAGAGCAATCGACTCGCGTATTTTTGCAGCAGCAGCGCACTGATTAACTAAGAAACTAATTTCTCAAAAACGACATCCAAAGCTACTTGTGGAGTTTAGTGCCAAAAACAGAAACGTGTATTGCGGAAATTTTAAGAGTTTTGACGCGCAGCAGAATGCGGAAGTTTTGGACAAATGTTCAAAATTTAATCGAAAAATTCCAACCGCGCTTCACTACCGACCTTATTTAAAAAATTAATTCCTCAGAAACCAAACAAAGACTGACTACTTTGGTTGCTTTACGAAATAGAAAAACGCGTGCTCTCTATGTCAGCAACGTTTCGATTTGATTGCATCCTCAGGGATTTTTAGGTGAAGTTTCGCAGAGCAAATAGTTTGGCCAGGTTTTGAAAATTGCTCAAATTCTCGAAAAAATGGGGTCGAGTTTGCAAGCATCCTCATGTGTGTAATCGATTTTTCTTTAGTTTCTCGATTTTTTGAGTTCGAGTGATTTTTGAAGGAAAAGTAGTTGCGACGAGTGGATCAAAACATGGAAAATTTTCATTTAAATCCATTGTTTCAATCTTCCAATTGAATACTTTAAATTGCTTTTACAAGGTTTCCGTTATCTGTTTTGAATAGGTAATAAATAAAAATTTTAATTGTCCGAGTATAGAGTTTCCAGTTTTTCGGAGAGTTTTGTAGCTTTAATGATTCCGAGGAAAATTCAATTGAGCTCGAGGTCTTTTTTAGAATAGAGTGCAAATTATCTATAAAACACAGTTTCGGGCTTGCCTGGTTTGCAGGGTCAACAACAAACTTTGTCTTCAAAATATTTTTATTGCGATCTGAGAAGACGTAAGCATTTGCAGAGAGTGGCTTTGAATAGGCAGAAACGTCTTTTAGTGGTGTGAGAAGTTTCGAATTGCTGTCATCATCAGGGATTTTTTGAGAAATTTTCAAATTTTAATCCGATAATGTGTATATACTTTGAAGAATGCACAGCGAAAAATGTGGCCCTCGAAAAGGACTTTGGCTGCAAATAGACAAATATGGTGTTTTAGAAGTCAGAACAGTTTTGGTCTTGAGAGTTTCCAACTGCAGTCTTTATCAGGAATTTTTTGGAGAATTTTCAAAATTCAGCCAGAAAATGAGTTTACAGAACCTTCAATGCCACGCTGGTTTGGAACATTAATTATAAAGTAAACGAAAAAGCATCTCGCAGCTTTTTGTGCCGTCAAGAGAAATGTGAGTTCTAGAAGCCTGGAAAGTTCCGATTTGTATTCATCATCAAGGATTTTTCGACGAATTTTTTGAAAGTACCCCACTGTCGCACTGCTAGTTTGAAAAATTAATTTTGAGAATTTAAATTTTTGAGAGTTTCAAAATTGAATCAATTGAATGAGTTTGCAGAACAACTCAAACAAGAGTACCGCTCCTTTAAAAAAATAATTTTGCAGAAATAGGAAGAGCAATCGACTCTCGTATTTTTGCAGCAGCAGGAAAGATGTTGGCTCTAGAGCTGTGGAACGTTTTGCGGTTCAATCAACATCAGGGAATTTTTCACAAATTTGGGAAAACGAGATTGCAGAACCCTCAGCGTACGTGTTAAAAACGTGTTAAAAATTATTTTTGCACAAAAAAAACGAGTGAGCCACTGGAGGATTTTCGCATCAGAAAGAGCAATGTGGGTTCACCAAGTCTGGAAAGTTTTGAATTGCAAACATCATCAGGGAATTTTCGACCAGTTTTGCAACAAAGCAATTGCTCTGAAACTAACCGAGAAACTCTCGTTGTACAAGTGCGTAAAGTTTCGAACTGCAACCATCATCAGCGATGTTTTCACGCATTCTCCAAATGTGTTGAAATATCGGGCCATTAAAAAACCATTGTACAGCGTAGAGGAGGAGGAAAAGGTCTGATTTTCAGCAAACGCAATTTCCAACCCTTCCGCAAATGAACCCATCGCATGCCAGGCACTGTTTGCAAAATTAGTTTAAGGAGAAACGAAGTGGTGGCGTGCTTTCTTCCATTCGGCGCCCATCGAAACCGTTTTGAACGCAAATTTTTCCAATTAACCGAACAAAAAGTGGACCTTTCCAACGGTTCGACGTCACTTATTTGGTTGTTAAGCCAAATCCGTCCAGTCATTCCATCCAACGTTTGTGTGTGTGATTCGCCAACAAATGAAACACGTGAAGACAACTTTACAAATTTATTTGATTATTTTTCTGTTTTGATGTTCGATATAAGTATGACAAAATAACAAAAGTTAACAGTAATATAGCTATGGAAAAATGCGCATTTTACACATTAGAATCAGAAGATGCTGGGGTTAGTGGGTTCAACAGATGCAGCAATTCGCGTTGGAAATTGGCTGCATCGGTTGGGCTCCCCTAACCATGTCTAACATGGACTACTAATCTAACTTAACAAGTGAAAACTACTGCTTGAGTGCCGGGCTGTTTTTGATTTTAGTTCGGGTTTTGATTGGAGATTTTGTGTAGATTTCCGATCTTCATTAGCAGTTTCCTGTTTTGGGCTGCGGATTAATAGCTGATTTTTAACCGCGTTTGCTTTCACAATCGGGGCAAGTTCGGGTAATAAACCCGAGGGAAAATAAAGCAGCTTTGGCCTTGAGGTTTGCGTTGTAATAATCAAAATCCATTACGCCGTTATAAAATTATATGGCCCGCCCATCACGCGATTATTTAAGTAATTTAGTTGCCGGCTAAGAGCCTTAATTGCCCCGCATAGGCACACGATATGTACTCGTGCAGACGCAGTGCTGCATTAGTTGGGCCGATTTTTTTGCTTGCTCTTTGGGAGAATTGAGACATTTTTCCGGTGGATTCCAGCAAATTTCGAAGAAAACGGCAAGTAAAACAAAGCAGCACCAGTCTGGGTATTACAAAGCGAAAACTGGGTCCGTTCTTTGAATTCAAATGAGAGAGAATGCATTATTTTGCGCGCTCGACGACGAACTCTTTTGCTTTCTGCCCTTTGACGGAAAATAAAATACAATTGTGTTTTATTCCGGATTTGGAGCAAGGAGGATTTATGGGCTTTCGGCGGCGCAAGAAAATAAGTAATTGAAAAATTTATCGGAGCCAGTGTGGTCGCAGGGCTTTGCAAGCAAGCAAACAGGCAGGCAGGCAGGCAAACAAACAAAGTACATTAATTACATTAGCTGGCTGGGCCGACTATACACAACTTCCATTTGAGATTACAGGGGGCCTAAACTTAGGGGGCATATACATAGTAGAAACACCTAAAAAACACACCAACCTTTTGCCATATCGCGCTTAATTAAAACACTGCCAGCTTATTCACGTCCTTTGCTCCTTAGTCATCCCGACGTGTTGACAATTATTTCATTACGTTATCTAGAAGTAGAAATAATTACAATTAATAGAAAATTTTACTCATTTTTACACAATGCATAGAAGCGAATAAACTGGCATTGATTCAACCTGTGCTTTTCTTGTCAATTAGTTTAGAACTTTCATTCATTATACCTGCGTGTGAGTGTTGCTGTGGGGCGTCTCGTTATCAGTTGGCGGCCCTATTTGATTGGCTGGCGTGTAATACTGAAAAAAACACCAATTAATGTTCTCCAAATCTTTCATTGCGTCGGATTCTGGGGCGTGTTTCAAGCTGAATTAGGCTAGAGGAAAAAACCACTCAATTTTTTGAGGAACACCGCTCTAGACGTGTGCCTTGCTTTGAGTACAGGGTCATAATTTCTCTATCAAATAGTCCTCTTGGAATGGTTCTAGCTGCTCTGGATTTAGAGTTATTCGATTTTTAAGGGGCTAGTGTCGCGTTGATTAGAAAATTAGCGAAAACTCTCTCAGTAAGTATGATCGCAATTTGAACTTTCTAGCCCTAATAGAGGCGCAGTTGCTCTATTAACTTGTGATTTTGGGCGTCGCTAACTTTTCTAGCTCAGAGGCAGTAAACTGACAATAGTTTGGGCCATTTGACTCTAATGAAAATCCTTCACTGCACTGCTTGTTCCAACCCTTAATTTCTCAGGCCTGAAAAGAGGCAGTCACTTGAGGGTTTTTGCCTCGCAAGAAGGAAATTTGATTCAATCACAACAGTCACAAAAATCTTAGATCGGACTGTTTAGGCAAAAATGCCCCGAAACAGAAACTCAGTACGACTAGAAGAGTTTCAGGCCAGAAAGGGAAAGGCCTGTTCTAGAGATCGTGAGAATTTCGAATTCATGTCAACATCAGTGAGTTTTTACGAATTTTCAATATTTAACTCGGAAATGAGTTCAAAATTCCACAATTTAGGTGCTGCTAATTTAAAAAATTATTACTCAGAAATAAAACTTCTGCTATTTCAAGAGCTTAGCACCAGGTAGGGAAAAGTGCAGCGTATGCCAACACCACGCTGCTTAGCTCGACACCAAAAAACTCACTAAAAACGACTGCGACTTGCAGAGTTCCTTACGAAATAGAGAAAAATGTGTTCTAGGAATGCTGAAAGTTTCGAATTGCGCCCATCATTAGCGATTTTTTTACAAATTTTCAAAGTTAAGTGAAAAAATTAGTTCGCTATTGTAATAAAGCGCGGCTTCGGACAAAAATCGCCCAGACAAATTTCGGCTGCGACTGGTCGAGTTCGGTACCAGACAAAGAGAAGGGAAATATATTCTGAAAATGTTGAGTTTCGAAATCTCGCCACCATCAGCAATTTTTTTACAATCTAATGAGAAAATTGTGTTGTGTTACAATAGTTCGCTAATGCAACAAAGCGCTGTTCAGGAAAAATAATAATTTCGAGTGAACAAAAAACGTCTGCTTCTTGGAAAGTTCAGTGCCAGATAGGGAACAATGCGCTCTAGAAATGCTGGAAGTTTTGAATTTCTGGCGC